TTTACAGGGACTCCGCGGGTAGCAATGGTCTGCGACCACCTGCCCGCAACCCTGTGGCTTAGTAGGTAATCTTGTAGCCTCCTGGAATGGGGGTTCGAATTCCTCCCCAAAGGGTGGTGTTTGCATATTCTTCTCTATTTATTTCAGGTACTGCTACAGTGGAGAAACATTTGTTGAGGTGTATTGTGGATTCTCAGAGGCTCACTGGTTTTGTGCCCTGCGTTGGACTGTCCAAGGTCTCCCGTCCTGTGGCCTGGGACAGGCTCCCAGCCCCCCAGTTAGCACAGGACTCACGGTGCCCGTCTGCTGTGCCTGGGCCTGCGGTGATTTCCCAGTGAAATACCCTGTTTTTACAGAGCGTGAACCAGCACGGGGCTCTTCCTGTCCAGATGCTGGTCTGGGCTCTCTAACCCGCAGGGGCCCGTCCAGGGGGCATGTCTGTGCTTTCCGCCTTTCCCTAAGGGCCCTCTCTGGCACACAGGTGCGGCCCTCGAAAACCCCCCTCACCCCGCCCACCTGTGATTCCTAGGTGACGCCTTGTCCCACCTCTCACTGGCCGTGCCTCAGCTGCGCACGCCTCCCGCTGTGGCCCACGGCCCGACTGTCTTTCCGTCTTTCCGCCTTCTGGAGTCTCGGTCCCCGGTGGTAAATTTTGCCAACCAGGGGGGCAAACAAAACCAAATTCTGCTGGATTGTGGATTGCTTAGTCGGGTATCGCATGAGATCAGGTCGCGGTTTGGTGGACTGAGGGGTTAAGGTCAGCCACCTATCTAGGGATTATTGGGAGAATTTTTGGTTGGTGGGGTGGGGTGGGGGGGGGAGGTAGAAGGCTTCCAAAGTAATTATGGGGTAGTTATTGAAAATTAGCTGTTGAGGTAGTGAGTACCGTGCTGGAGGAGGTGGGTAATTGCGAGTGCTAATTAAGCCCTTGCTGGATGGATCCCATTGGGACGAGCTCGTTCTCATGGCCTCCGCAGGCACCTCGCCGCTTGGCCCCGGTGGCGTTGCCATGGTAACACAGGCTCCGCCCACCATGTGCATATCTGCATTCTGCCAGCAGCCTCCCCCTCAGCCCCCAGAGCACCCTGTGTTAATTATAGCCCCTGAAACAGTGCAGGGGGGCCAACTGGACACCGACCCTTGCTTCCTCCCCACCACAACAGGAAGCAGGCGTGTCTCTCAAACAGCTCAGGGTCCTTTCGCCACCCGGGCCGTCCATCGACCTGCCAGATCTGAACTGCCGTCACCAGCCCTGTTTTTCTACAAGGAATCTTCCCCTGGCATCAATAAATTCTTATGTCTTATGCAGTCTTAGTCATTAGCTTGAGCATCACATTTTTTTTTGGGGGGGGGGGGGGTGCTGGTTATTTATTTACTTTACATATCTGTGGTTAGCTTGCTGGGGGGGATGGGTGGGCAGCATCTTCCGCTCAACATTTTTCAGCTGTTTAGCCCTGTGGGTCCGCGGGAGAGAGTCAAGCTGGGACTGGATCAGGCACGCGATGTTCCTGCTGAATGAGGCCCAGCACAGAGGCCTCATTCAGACGATCAGCTTGGTGTTCCGCAAACTGACACTATCATGCTAAACACTTTAATAACGATTTTGTGAATATTTTAGATCCAGATCTTTGAAGTCGTGTTTAATATTTATACCCCCGAGTCTTGTGTAGTGTGGAATTTGAGTGGAGCCTCTTCCAGGGCCCCAGGCTGTAAGAGGCGGAGCTCCGTGCGTCTGCAGCCCTGCCTGAGCGCTGCCCTCTGGCAGACACACCTCCCCCCCCACTCCCAGGGCTGGGAGGGACTAATCCTAGCACCAGAACCAGCAGACACACCCCCCCCCCACTCCCAGGGCTGGGAGGGACTAATCCTAGCACCAGAACCAACAGACACACCCCCCCCCCACTCCAAGGCCCAGGGAGGAGGCTGCATCAAGCTGTCAAACCAGGGCGTAAGTTCACACCCTGTAGAAAACCCCAAAATGGAAGCATAAATGTGCATGAATATTGGCCAGCGAGGGGCGCTGTGTCCATGGCTGAGATGCCAGGTTGGCACCCAGTGGGGACGGGCAGGAGTCAGCCTGGATAGGGCCTCCTGAGGTGTCTGCATATGGAGGCAGCTGACAGGAGTTTGCTGGGCGACCCAGTTCCTGTGCTGGGTAAGCAGCCCCCCCCCACCAAACACACACATTTACCCCACACAGCGTTGACTGTCCACTGTCTGCCGCAATGGAGAGAGAGACCGGGGCACCAGGGCAGAGGAGGAATGGGTCGCGAGGAGGGTTCAGAGGTGTAATGGGAGGGGGTTGCGGGGGGGGAAGTGCTCGTCTGTTGAAGTGACTCTGCATTTCCTGGTAGCTTGACAGACAGCCTCGGGCGAGCGGCTGAGAGCGAGAGAGCCAGAGCGAATCCCGCGGCGGGTGTCGGATACCCGGGACTCCATGCAGTCTCCCCATCGCCCGTGAAGGCCCCCCCCGCGAGCTTGGCCCGCGGACCGCGGGGTCTCCAGAACCCCCATCCCTGAGCTCGCGATGCGCCATGGACTGGCCGACAGACGCGAAGAAACTGGTAAAGCCTCGCGCTGCAGTACGACGCGGCCGCCTGTCTGTCTGTCTGTCTCTGTCGGTTGTTTTTCTGTTGTTTCCCCGGCATGTCGGTGCCCCGGTGCTGGGTCCGCGCCGGTGTTGGGGTCGTGCCGGTGCTGGGGCCACGCCGGTTCGAGCGTCTCCAACAGGTGGATCTCTGCCGCTTTCGGTGCTGCGTCTGGCAGCCACTTCCTCCTTTAGGCAGTGGTGCATGCAGGCAGCTACCTTGCTGCAGCCATCAGAGAGAACGGGCAGCTTATTGGATACCGCCATGGCTTCACTCGACCCCCACACTCGGGGGGGGGGGGGTCACGATACAGGTGGCCCTTGCTTGTTTACTTTGCAGCACCTGACTCTGGCGGGGGCTTGGGATTTGATGTCATCCAGGCTTCCAGCTGCATCCGCCCCCCCCTCTTGCCCCCCTTGCCCCTCTTTCCCCTTCCTCAGAGCAGTAGTGGATATGGGGATTTGCTGTTCTATTCCCGCCCCGACAGGTGGAGGGTGCTGTGACTGTGTCATCGGCAGCGTGTGCTAGATGAGAACAAGGACAAGGCCAGCGTGGTGTTCGGGAGGGGGTGGGGGTGGGGGTGGGGGGGACAGGATGTGTTGATGTTGTGCTGATTTAAACTGATAACAGCTGAGAAAAATACAGGAGGAGAGAGATACAAAATGGCTGCTTTGAACCAAACCTATTATATTAGTTAATGCTGTTACTGTGTGTGAAATATGCAGATGTCTGTTTATGGAGAACGTTTTTCTGGGAGTTTTGAGCCTCAGTTTACTTTGAAAACGGGTGTTTTGTTTTTGCTTGAACCTTGATATAGAGAAACCACTGAAAGTGCGGGTGTCTCGTCGTCTTGGGAGTTCCCATATCTGCTGTTGCACCAAATGTGGATTAAAGTGAGCCGGTAGTGATTCTCCGAACAGCAAAGCACACAGGTCTGCAGACGTCATCGCTATGGCGATAAGCTCGGTCTTCAAAGAGACCCCACTCCGACCAGTCAGCACAAAGCGTGAATCTGGGAGGTGAATCAGCGAGTTGTCATTTAGCAGCTCGGTGTTTGATGTTTCTGCTCTATTTGGCACGGTGACATCACGCCTTCAGGGCCCTGGGTTCGATTCCTACGCACCGTGTGTTGAGTTGCTGTGTTCATCCCGTGTTCCCTCCACGTTCCTCTCACTGCGTGCGTGTCTTTAGATGTCCTGCAATGGGCTGGGCTGCCCCCCACCCTAGGTGTACCCCCACGTCCTGCTTCTCGAAATGGGCTCCAGTTACACTGTGAGCCTCATACTAAGCAGTTATAGAAGGTGTCTGAATGTTTGATTAATTGTGTAGCAGTTTGGGCTTTTCACTGTCAAGGGTACAACAGCAGTGCCCTGGGTGAGCACAGCCTACTACACCCTGCACAAGCTAAATGTGTTTTCAGCTCAGTCCTCAGCCCCCCCCCCCACTTTTGCTCCCCCCCAGCTGCCAGCACACCTGACCCAAATAATCGAGAGTATGGAATACCTGGTGCAGATGTACTGGCAGCTGGTGGGGGCTGACTGGGCATCCCTGAGACCTGGGTAGGGAACCACTAACTGAAGGTTACGGGAGATCAGACTGAGCGAGGTAACGGGGGCACTGTCACTTGTGGAACACAGACCCCATACGAAAGGCGACGAAGGGCTCTGTCCCCCCCCACGCCCCAAAAGGTGGCATCCCACCTACCCCACCTACTGAGCGGTACCTGCAGCTTGCTTTCTGTACCCCATCCTCGTCCCCCCCCCTTACCAATCAAAGCCACTGATTTTGTAACATGTGGGATGGACCTGGGCTACCGCCCTTCAGGTTAGGCCTGCTTTATCTCCAACCTGATGTTTGGCGTCACTAAATCACCATTTTTCCACTATTCCTGCACCATGAAAGTCGTCTGATTTATTCTTTTTTTTTGTAAAAAAGAAAATGCCTCTTCATGGATCTCGACGCCGTTCGGCCTAAAGCTCATTATGAACCGAACCACTAGGGGGCAAGATACCCCAAGCGCCGACTCATTATTATCCAACATCATTAACTTTAGTTGTGATCAAGGGGTGAAATGCGTCTCTTTGCCGAAGAATGGCGTGAAGGGGTGAACCAAGCCGCCTGACTGGTTCCGCTCAGAGTGGCACTGAATGTCCTGTCAGCTTTCGGTGTTTTTGATCACCATGGCAACTCCTCCCCGTTTTCCCAGAAAACATTTACAAATCTGTGTACAAAATGATTTCCTCCTCTGGAGGAAACTTTGGAAATGTGACTTGAGACACTTTGACTATGGAAGCTGCCGTTTTGGGGGAACTTGGGGAACTTCCATGCTCGTTTGGGGAGTGTTACCGTTTGGGTAAAGATGGCCCCCACCCTCAGCTGTCCTCTCCCTCTCTCTCCCTCTCCCACCGGCAGAAGGATGTGCGCTACCTGCAGCAGTGGCTGGAAGCCTTCGTGGCTTCCTTCGAGAAGCTCATCGACATCCACACGCTGGAGCCCCGACGGTAAGTGCTTCTGGGTCATGTGAGGGTCACATGACTCTCCAGTTGGACGTCTGCTCCGTTTCCAGGTTTTTACTGCTGAAAACGTATCACCTTGCCTGTTCTTATTAATTTGTTTCATGTGAGTGAAAAAGTAAGAATGATTTGATTTGTTCATGGAGAATGTTACCAGGAGTTTTCCTATGAGTTTACTTGCCACCAGCTTTGACCTTTAACCTTTGGCCCAGTTTATTTCTGTGCATCCAAGGGCCTCATTCCAGCGTCCATCTTTGGTTGGCATCGTCTTAAAAGGTTTCCGATCCCTTCCCCACTTCCCTTCCCCACTTCCCTCCCCAGGCCTGAAGACTCCTGCACCGACGTGCCCCTCTTACCCCCGGATGTACTAATCCTGCTCAGCACCCAGCTGTGGCACAGCGCCCTCCACCTGTCGGGGCAGGAACAAAACATCACAGCCCCCCAGCCACTGCTGCTCATCAAGTTTTTCATCATCATCTGCAGGTGTGTGTGTGTCTGTGTGTCTGTGTGTGTGTCTGCGCATGACTGTGTGTGTCTGCGCATGACTGTGTGTGTCTGCGCATGACTGTGTGTGTGTGTGTGTGTGTGTCTGCGCATGACTGT